GTTGGGATGATACCATTCACTTTTGTGTCATCATTGATTGTTAAATAACTTTCAATTAAGAAGCTTTTTTTTTGATTGCTTGTTGGAAAATACTTTAAAGGGTATATTTTTCAGCTGTGCATGGAAAAAGTGTAACGGATATTACAATCTGATTATTATTATGTGGCTAATTGCTCATTTATTTCTATATATCTTAAAATATTCAGTCAATAATGACATTTCACTATGATCTTAAAATGTACCATTTGTTTTTGACAGTCCTAGCAGTAACATTTATGTGTTGCTGACAGGGATAATGCTGGAAAGGTTCCGAATGCTCATTTTGGAGGCTGCCTCAGCCTCTACCCAAGGTACATAAATGTTGTCATGTGATAAGTGTTGTGGATTTCATTTGTGCATAAATCTTATGTTCATAAATTTTACTCAGTTCATTATGCAATTTGCATGTAATTAGGATCCATTAGTTGACCTTTAAGGTATTGACCCATGTACAGTCTGGGGACCTTAATTTGGCCTCAGATTTCATGGATTTGGAACCTCTTGCCTTTAGATTCATACAGTTGTCTGTTGCATGTGTGTGTATACATTTTAAAGGACCTGAGTGATTCATTAATGAACCATTTTCCAATTTCAGTATAACCTTTTTTATGTAGCAACATAAAGACATGTGTATCTAAAACATGCCATACACTGCATCTTCATGAAGAGTCAAGATATGGAAGTTGCAGGGTGGTAAGAGGTTATGGGTCGGGGAGGGAGTAGATGTTAACTAAAATAATCAAAGAGGAGTCTTCACAAATTTAAAATTTGTGTCATATTTTGTTGATCAATTCCATTCATGACATCTTCTCTTCCTTTTTCATAAATTGTCATTTAAATGAAATAAATATTAATAAGAGATTTATTTCTAATTCATCTTCTTTACGTCCTTGGGCTCTTTAAGTGCTTTAACCAATTTTATACAGGAATAATACACTTCATATACTTTGTCTTAGCCTAACATAATATTTAGATCAGTGAGACTACAGCACATTGAGTTCGGGATCAAGTAAGTTATAGGTCAGGTCCAATGAAAATTGATCTGAACCAATTAAAGTAATGCTAACACACACTAAGAAGTATCGCTTCCACATGGTATTACTAGAGTCCTAGGATTGAAAGCCTGCAAAAATTTGTTTGCTTAAGGGAAAAGCTCCAAGTCTGCGGTCAGAAGAGTCAAGATAATGGCTCGTCTCAAAAGACAGAAATCAATAAAAAATTGCACAATTGTTACACATTAAATAATTATTGTTTTTTAGCCGCCAAATGAGAATTCTGGATGGCGTTAGAAATTACTTCCTTTCAAAATGAATGGTGCTCTCTGCTGGCTTTCTGTTTACTTATTGAATTTGGTTGCCATGGGAACAGACATGTTTGTCAACATTCTCAAATAGCACTTTTCTGTGAATTTGTACAGATAAGAGACAGGTTTTATGATCATCATTTCAAGATAAAAAAAGACCCAATTTCCAGAAGATTTGCATTGAGTTCTTGAATGTTGGAAGTTCATTCTTTGGGTACCAACATATTTGACCTCTTGACCTTGGAGTTTGGCCCACTTTTGCAAAATTTTTACCAAACTATAATCTTAGCCATAACTCTCGAATGGTTTGGTGCTAGCTAGAGCTTTTATATTTCTTATGTATTCCTTGTGACAAGACCTTTCATTGGGTACAAGAAGTTTGACCTCTTGACCTTTGAGTTTGACTTGTACTTAAGAAATTTTAATCTTAATGGCAATGAGCTGTCATGCGGGGCATAAGTACTTCACATACACATCTTGTTTTAAAAAGGATATGTTCATATGTGTAAAAAATGAATTTCCATAGTAACATGTACCTTTACACTTAAGATACATTGTTTGACCTTGACCTGATTTTTATCGACATATTAAATCAAAACCAAAGTGGATGTACTTGTCTCATGTAATTGAATAGCTATTTGAACTGGATTAAGTTTTTGAGTAACAAATTAAAGAAAATAAGATAAAATCTGAATAAATAAGTGAATAAGAACATATTAAATAAATGAATGATTTAATCAATTGATCACTCAATCAATTATTCAGTAATCAATCAGTCATGTAGACTTTGGATTAGTAAACTTTAATTCTCAATACATTTGTTTTTTATCAATTAAGAATCTGTTAGGGAAATTTACAAAGGACAACAATTAAATTTAAAATACAGATAGATTTTGTTAACAAGCCTTTTTTTTTGGGTTAATTTCTTATTTTTAAAACTTAATAAATCATGCTCCAAGTGAAGAAACAGAGACAACACATGCAATTGTTAATTCAATCTTTAAAGTTGATATATAAAGTAAAATTGCCATAGTTATCAGTCATCTTGTGATTTGAAATGTGGCAGAAATAGATAATAAATGAACAGAGCTTTGTTAAGGTTTGAGTGAAGAGAGAAAAAAGTTGACTGTTCATTAAGTATTCAATTGTTCATCCATGATGAAAATAGAGTCTTTGAACCGACTGTCGACAGTAATGGTTCTGTGTGACTGCATGGTTTCTCTCTTTGTAAGTATTAGCTGAAGGTCATGCCTTAATTTATTTTCTGTACATATATATAAATGTGCAGTTTCTTTCTTGGAGAAACAAATATGTATATATTAAGTATGTTAAAAACCTATCACTGTTCAACATTGGTAGTTTTAGTACTATCACATCATATGTGCTGTGGATATGACATTGTGAACAAACTCTATAGGAATTGAATTGCTCTCTTTCCATTTGAGGATGTCAATATGTAGCCTGGTGTGTGTCTTGATGTGGAAAGCAGTTGATCCTTGACTGACTGTAATAATATGTTCTGTATGAAGTACATTGTATTACAGATGGGAATTATATAGACCGATGAAGGGGAAAAATTGATATCTAAGAGATGGATAATTTATACCCTGAACTTGGAATCTAGCTGTCTTCTATATAATGGAATTGTTTTTTTTTTGTTGAAGTTTTAATCTAACTTAATATATTGAATTCAACATGTTTTATCAAGAGTGAATTTCTCTGCAATAATTCATTGTCATTGGGTGAAATTATATTAATAAGAAAAAGGCATGTTGAAAACCGAGAATTTATTCTTGCAACGTTTTCTGTGCTGCTTCCGACAGTTTGGTCATTTGCATGCTTCCAAAACGGAGGAGACACAAGGTAAATTTAGTTAAATCAATTGCGAGAAACTCGTCAATAACAGGTCCAATGTGGACTCCGTTTAATTTGCATATTTAATCAGGTGTTCATCAAATATTGATAATGATGTTAATGACAGTATAATTTTGTTTGCTCTCAATGCTTCATGATTAGACTGTTTGCAACATAGAAAATTGACCGTGAATTTTTGTTTCACAAGAATTTTATATACATATGCTTTTTTGACATTTGATTGATTTCAGAGGAAAGCATGTTTTAATTGTTTCATAAGATGGGTATTATTACTGCAATTTTAGATGAACCTAATGTCAAGGTGCATCAAAGCAATTGGTCAGTGTTTATGTGATGCATCTTACATTGAAAAAAATCAATATCGTGTTTATAATTTCCCAAGACATTAATCCCCCCCCCCCCCCCCCCCCCACACACACACACACACACACACACAAAAAAAAAGGGGGGATTTTAATGGATAGAACTTGATGAACAATTCACAGCTATGTGATTTGATCAATTAAAATATCCAAAGAGAGCCATTCAGGAGTAACATTTTTTTTTAGTTTGCAAATTAATGGAATTGAGCCATGTATATATACATTGCTTATTGTTTTTTTTTTTCTTGTCTTTTTCCCAACTGAGTCTGTGGTTTGATGTATAAAGTTTTGTTAGACAAAATTCTATCATTATCAAAATCCCTTTTGAAAAGAAAAGATATATAAAAGAAAGGAAAAAAAAACTATAGAGACACTGAATGACAATGGACAACTTTTGATGATCACCAAGAGATTGACTTTACAATGGAATATTGCTTACTACTAATGATTTCTGTAAATGCAATGATAAATGCATTGTTTGTCGGCCAGACAGCTGCCAAAGCAACGCTTATATTTTACTGTCAATGAGGACATCCAAAGCACATAATTAAGAACCCTGGAGTCTTCTGTCCTGTTATTGATCATTTTTCAGGGGCCTAGCTTTCCCCCTGGCCTATGGTGATGACTCTGTAACAAACATTCTTTTGGCACCAGTATTGTTATTTCCTTGACAGGTGTCATCAGCATTCTTCCTGTATTGTGTATATTTCTTAGTTTGATTATATTTATGACTGCGTGATGCAGAGGCAGATATGGGAACATAGGATGGTGGAAAAAATTCATTTGAATTATATCAGAATCACAAATATAGTAAAGTTATACACATTATTATAACAACTGATATTTTATACAATATGTTGTCTTTAGTATATCTTGTTTTCCAGATCTTTGAATTTTATTTTAAGATCAGTTCAGTCTTTACATTTCTAAACTATTTTAACATATATTTCAGGGTTGAAATTTTCCTGCAAATCCCACTAGCCCAGAGGCTACTGATAGTAAAAATTTACTTGCCCAATTCGCAAACTAACTAGCCCAACAACTTTTTTTATGCAAAATGAAAACATAGCAATTAAGTTAAAGTTTCAAACGCTTTGGTGACAGAAACAAATTAAACGAGTTCTCGGTCAAAAGAAACCAGTCGACACAGAAAAGAGAAAGTAAACTGATTAGATTTTTTTTTCCATTCTGCTAGTCCGACGGACTATCATTACATTTAAATTAGCTAGCCCGAGTCTTAAAGTGATTAGCCCCAGGTGTTGGGCCACTGTGTATTTCAACCCCTGCATTTAATAAAAGTATTTTTATTAGGTGTATCTACGTATGAAGTTTATTCTTAATCATAGAGATGATCAAAAGAAATTATCACACTGTTTTAATTCGTTTGGATTTTTGTTAACAATTCATTGTGTATATTTCAGGAGCAAGTAGTGACAGTGAAATACTGGACTCCAGTGCAGCAAAGGAGGAAATCAGAAATGGGAAAGCTATATCCAACGGAACTGTGCAATCAGAGGGGAAAGAAAAAAAAGACCGGGTTGAATTCCCACAGGAATCAGATCAGAGGAAACTTAATCAATTATTTGATGCCTTTAGAGTGCCCAAAACCAAAGAGCTTTCAAGTAAAACTCACTCAACAGTGAGGAAAGTGACATCCAAAAAGTATGAGGAATCGGATTCTGATTCAGACTCTTCTGTGTCAACTGACACAGAGAAAAACCAAAAGGAAGTCCGAAAGTCTTCACCCAACAGGAAAGTGGATAGTGTTGATAGTGTCAGTAAAAATATTCCTGTATCAAGCTCTGGGACAGATACCAGCAAAAGTAATGTTTCAAAGGATAAAAAACTACAGAGGAACTTGTCTGATGATTCAGATCAGACACTTGTGTCGGATGATGTTCCGTTTTCGAAAAGTAGCACAGAGACACAGATTAAAGTAGATGTACAGTCTGATGAATCAAACTCGCCAACACTGTCAGTAAGTAAAACAAATGAAGTGAAAGCAAATTCAGTGGAGGATTTTGTGAAAAACAAATCACCCAAAGGTACACTGAAGCAGACTGCTACAGAAATTGTAATGGCAATGAAAACAACCAATCCTTCATTAACTCCCAATCAAAACCACCAGAGTAATTCTCAACATACAGATACAAAGAAGTATATGCCAGGGAGATCCCCTTCCCCATATTCTTTTGACAGTATTCCTTCATCTCATGCTAATTCACCTTTACCTGTGAAAAAGAGGGACAGTCATGTCAGCAGAGAATCTTCCGATACGGATTCTACGTCTCGGATGAGTACTGCGGATTACAGTGGTACAGAATCCTCTCATGTTCGTGAGAGCAGTAGTGGTGCTGAGGATTATGTGGTAGAAGAACTATCCAAAGTTCGATTTCGACGGATGTCCAAAAATTTCGTAGAGAAAAGAAAGACAAAAAGTAAGTCTTTTTGGTTTCAAATGGGTGTTGTGTTCACTATTATACTATTTCACTGTTCATGCTGTTTGGTTAATAAGTGTTTGCTTTTTTCAATTTTGATTTTTCTACATGATGTGAAGTGATCTTAAATATTAAGCTGATGCATCCATAACTATTAATGTCCCTGATGTAGTCTGTAACACAAAGAAATTTATATAGAGTTCAGAAGTTAACTTTTAGAGAAGTGCATGTAATGAATATATTTCCTACATTTTGATTTATTATTATTTATTAGCTTCCTCAGGTTTAACTTTTCTAAATATTATGTGTGAATGTGTGCATGTTTTCATTTCATTTCATAGGTCCACCTCCTGGGTGTGATCACACTGCTGTAGGTTTGGTGAGAGAGGGGCAATTGGGCAACTCTCCTTTAGACCCATCTAAAAATTTTCCCCCCTCTAAGTCACCCCAACTACCTCCCCAAAATGTATCCCCAAAGGTATTTGAAAATCATCAATTTGTGAGAATATCTGACACCTCTGATTGTGAAGTTCCTGCCAATGTGTCTTCAGATTTATCATTGTTTGACATTGAGAGAGACTGTCACTTGAACCCTGAAGTTTATGATATCAGCGATTTAGCGAAAGTCTCCAGATCCATTCTGACACAGCCTCAGTCAGACCTGGGCCCTCCAGGAAGAAAGAAATCACCCAGACCACAGAAAAAGGAGAGACATAAAAGTGCAGGTGTTCGTGAACAGTCTGTCGGTGAAGGTGAAGAAAAATGTGTGAAATCAAAACAAGAATATGTACACCATGTACAAATGATGGACATTAACACTAAAGAAGAAATAAATTCTAGGAATTCAAGGTCAAGTAAAACAAAACCTAGAGAAACTATAACTGAACCTGAAGTGTCAAGGAAGTTAATCGTGTTCAACCCAGATGACCTGGAGTCTGACTCCACTGATTCCAACCAGGAAATGGATCTTCAAACCAATCTGAAAACAAATCTTGCAACCAATCAAAAAATGGATCTTCCGACCAGTCAGAAAACAGCTTGCAAAACCAGTCAAGAGACAGATTTTCAAACCAATCAGAAAACAGATATTTCATCAAAGAGGAGTAAAAATTCTATTGAACAGGAGGACAGTGTTCCAGGTCCTGATGAAGAGGGTATTTTAGCAAACAGATTACAAGACTGTGATGATGTTCAGGAGAGAAACCATGAGGTTATCAACGAAAACATTGTCCTGGATGATTCTGGTAAACATGACAGCTTTGATTCATTGCTTGAGTCTTCGCTTTTTCAAAATTTTAGGTTATCCTCCATTGATGACAGAAAGAATAGGTTTGAGTCAATTGAAAGTTTTGATCTTTCTCCTCTGACACCTTTGTCTGACAGCAAGATTGGAACCAAACCACAAACCTATACTTTTGCTTTTGTAAATGACAGTGTTTGGACAAATGAAAGCTCAGAAAATGTTGGAACAACTGAAGAGGACTTTGATGAAATCTTCAACAAAGCTATTTCTGATCTAGAAACTAGTGAACCAAAAAGAAAACCTGTTCGAAAGAAAAGAAAAAAATCTCATAGGCCTAGTACTGGCAGCAACAAAGACCTTGAGGAGATTGCAGAAAATGTGGAGGACAGTGTGGACATTGTGGAAGATAATACGAGAAGCTTCCAAAAGGAATTTGGAGAGCACCATGATTTCAGGTTCTCTGTTGATGATAGCCCACCAGGCCAGGATCAAAATGGTCAGGAATCGGAAGGTTTCAAACAAAAAATACAAAAAGCAAAGGAAAATGAAGATCTGTCATTTCTGTGGAGATTTGAAGATGACACACTTAAAGATGAGTTTCAGCAAGTGTTTGGAAGTGTCCAAGAGTCACCACACAAACAAACATATGCACAGAATAGAGCATTCCTTCGTAAAGCATTTGCTACATCAAATGATTCTCTAAGCACAGAATCAGATGCACTTAGTGTTATTCAAGAAGAGAATAATAGCAGTGACAATAGCAATGAAGATGTAGAAGTGTATTTGCATGATATTGAAGAAGAAGAAGATACTGCATTATCAACAGAATGTGCAGAAAGTAATGTCGAGAAAGTGCATGTTGACAGTCAAAAGATTTCGGATGAGAAAATTGTTGATGGTTCAGAGGGAATAGATGAAATTATAATACTCACGGAAAACACTGGTAAAATGAGTATCAAAATAGAAGCAGAGAAGGAAATGGATACTTTGATGAATAACAATGTGATAATTTTAGACTCAAGTTTAAATGAACAGTCATCAACTGACCATGTTAAAGAAGAAGTGACTGATGTTAAAGATATGAATGAGGAAGATACAAGCAATGATTTGCAAAGATCTCCTGTGCTTGAAAAAGAGAAAAACAGAGAGGTACTTAATACAGAAAGCAGTCTAAGCAAGATGTTGCTGACTTCTAGCAAGATTGCATTGATGACCTTACAAACCTCTGAATCTCCAGCTGAGAAGTCTATCACCTCCACTGAAAACTTGGTGTCTTCCCTAGAAGCTGACATGAGTTTAGATGAAGAAGGTTCTCAGGCTAGTGAGGACCTCCTGCTACAACAGATCATTCAAAGCCAAAATAATAGAGAAGACAGCAGTGTGCAGGACTCTTCTCCAGACAGTCAAACCGAAAAAGTAAGGAAAAGAACCAAAAGTAAACAGTTGGTTCAGGAATGGCTGCAGACAGATGTTCCCCGGGAAGTAATGGAGGATGTTCCTGTTGACATACCTAGTCCAGAGTGGCTGGAAATGGAGGATCCTGAGGGGGTTGTTCCCACACCTGCTCCTGCCCTTGCCCCTCTCTCCCTACCTATATCAGAAGGTGGTCAGAAATCTGCTGACTTTTACCCCAGCACTGTTCCTTTTGTCCCCATTCTTCAGCTAGAGGAACACTCAGGTATCCTACTTTTTTTCTGCTTGCTACTGCTCAGGTAGACCCTCCCTTATCCATCATTAGTTGTGTGAAATGAAGTGACCTTTGTAAACATATACTAAAAGCATGGTGTTTTATAGAGTAGAACATTTTTCAAAGACACAGTTTAATCAAATATTTTATTGAACATCTCTCTTAAAATTTAAACCATTGCTTTTGGCAGTTCATGCAGGAAATTGATTTGTCACATCATTTCACTTCAACGCTAACTTTCGCAGCCTCGGAATTCTCCCTTCTAACCACTTGAAAGCCTCAAAATTATGCAACATCAACAAAGTTTTTAGTTTTAACGTTTCAAAGCAGCAAAAGGTGGCAACATTTCATTTATTGCTACGTAATCATAATTTTTTATCAGCCCTCCAAGAAAACAAATTAATGGTGCCAAAATTATGCAACTTGTGACAAGGGTATTAGTTTCATTATGCAATATGTAATGGCCAATTCCAACGAACTCGTAAGCTTCTTATAGAGTCGACATGATAGACTTACCTAAAAATCAATCAACTTATTTGGACTTGGATGCTAAGATTCAAAGACCTTTGTGATGTTGGCTAATTACTGCAGGTGATGGGTATTAATGGTTTTGATTTCTGTTTTTTTCTGTCATCTTGAATAAGTGTACACACAAAGTAAGGTATTAATTATGATTTATAAATACTTCCTTATAGTTCCCAACCATTGATTTTCTCTTGATTGCCTTATCCTTTGATACTAAAAAGCTCTCTATAATCAAAAAGAAATTCTTGAATAAAAAAGAAAGATTAATGAGTGTTAGGCAGTGCTTAACATACTAAATAAATTTTTTTCTTGAAAATTTGAAGGCAACTGTTGACTATAAGTTTAAATGCTCTAGATTCCATTAATTATTAAAAAAAAAAAAAGTACGGCTTTTCCTTTATAATCTCCATTGTAGTAAAAAAAAAAAGCAACTTGATGGATTTTGTATCTTTTTTAATAATATATACAGTAAAACTTGTCTAATCGGGACACCATCGGTTCCGAAAAAGTTTGCCGGATTAGACAATATTCCAGATTAGACAATATTTTAAATAAAGGAATTTACTGAAAAGGACTTAAATATACATCATATTAGACAAGATTATGGATTATACAACATCCGGATTAGACAAGTTTCACTGTATAGATAAAGTTTTAACCTTGAGAAATTTTTGGCTAATTTAATTTAGAAGACAAGTTGAGGTTTTAAATAATTTAAAGTACTTTCAAAAGTACATGTACAATATCTCAGATGCTACTTGCATTCTTTTTACAAACTTGGTGTCCTATCGACTCCTTGTAGACACCATGAAGAACGTTTTATTCAAATATTTTCGTTTTACTTGCATTTATAGAGAACATATATGCATTTTCATTTGTTTTCTGTGCAGTGCTTGTATAGAGAGACAATGAAAAATTAATGATTTCTGGAGAACAATGGAGAAGTAGAAATATTTTATATTGCTACTGGGAGGTGGACAGTAGAAAACTTCACTTTTGCACTGACAGTTATTAACAAGGGCACATTAGAAAACATGCATGCATTTTTTGCACTTTTTATCAACATTTGGTGTTATCTGTGGATTTTTTTTAATTTTTTTCAGTTTTTTTGTCTGTTTTGTCTTGATCAAGACATTTTAAAACAATTAGCTAAAACTGTACTGTGCCTTATAAAATGTACATTGTATAACACAATGAGAACCAGTTTTATGTACCAGTTGAAATAATATACATGAGTAACACTCTGACATTTGCCTATATGTAATATATGTAATATGATAGCAAAGGTATTGGCAATTTAGATACATGTAGATGCAGTATTAACTTTGACTTTCATTCATTTTTCATTTTATTTATTAGTATTGCTTACAAATGAGTATAGTAAATGTTTTGGAAATTGCTAGAGGTATTTATTAATAAAAGCCATACAATACATGCATTAGCTTAAAATACATTCATATTATCATGGTTTTATCTGGCCTTGCTGACAGTATAAATTTGCATATTCCTCAGAAAGGAAAACATCCACTGGCAGGCATTTCCTTTAATAAATAAGTCTTATTAATAACTACCGGTATACTGTCTCGAGGACAGTCCATCATACTCTGTATCCAAATTTCACAAGGCATTAAGAAACATTTGGTATTATGTATTTTTAACCTTGAATTTGTTTTCACAGAGAGAGCAGAGGGAGGAACCACCCGACTGTCCCCCAGGGCAAGTTCAGAGGGTTCGGGGAGTTTTGAGGACAGCGGTCATGTTAGTGGTGCTTCTACAGAAAACACCCCTGAACATCGCCGCACGGACAGTACAATCAGTCAACTATCAGTGCCTTCATCCACCTTATCTACTGTTACTGACGTAAGTACATCATCCACAGTTACTGACATAAGTACGAAAAGTACGTCATCCACAATTACTGACGTAAATAAGTACATCATCCACAGTTACTGACAAATGTACGGAAAGTATGTCACCCACAGTTACTGACTTATATTAAAGTCCATCATCCACTGTTACTGACGTAAATACATCATCCAATGTTACGACGTAAATACATCATCCACCATTACTGAAGTAAGTACATCATCCACTGTTACTGACGTAAGTACATCATCCACAGTTACTGACATATGTACGAAAAGAATGTCATCCTCAGTTACTGATGTATATAAGTACATCATCCACCATTACTGACGAAAGTACATTATACACAGTTACTGAAATGTGTACGAAAAGTATGTCATCCACACTTATTGACATATATAAGTACATCATCCACCATTACTGACATAAGTACATCATCCACCATTACTGACATAAGTACATCATCCACTGTTACTGATGTAAGTACATCATTGACAGATACTGACGTAAGTACATCATCCACCATTACTGACGTAAGTACATCATCCACTGTTACTGACGTAAGTACATCATCAACAAATGGAAGAATCCAACAAATCTCAGGCCTAGTTTTTGACACTGCAGTGAAACTTTAGAAGTTACTGAAATGTTTATCATGCCTAGATCTCTGCTATGCACACCAGCTCCTTTAAATATCCCTATTGAAATAGAAATGGAGACATCATGTGATTTTATTTAATTAGTTTTTTTTTTTCTTTTTCTTTGTTTTATGGTTATGTCCTATAACATCCTTTCTCTGGCTGCACAAAATTTATTAAATTTCTGCACTGTGAAACTTCACAATTTGTTTTGTTGCAGTTAATCATTAGCCCAGTGACATAGTTAATCAATGTTGATTTACTTAAGTCAGACAACATATTGATTTTGCCGCATGCAGTTTTCAGGAGAGCCCCCGAAATATTAGCTCTTCTAAGTCACACAAAGTAATTAGCTGAGTGAAATTTAGTACCCTTGAAATGGATTTTGTTTTATTAGATATTTTATCATTAAATGTTGATGCATAAGGAGGAGTCATTTGTTTTTCATTACCCAAATTACCTTTTTCCATGGTGTTCAATATGTTAAAGTGACTGTATTGTCACCATACTGTATCTAGCATTTCATTTAGCATGATGCACAATTATTCAGAATTGGGAAGAACATTTCATTTCTGTTTTCAAACATCTGTGACATTGATTTTGCTTAAAAGATTTTTTTTTTTTTTTTACACATCTGAAAAGACTGAAATTATGATTGTAAATTATTATTTTCTTAAGTCAGCATAAACTTATTTGAAATTTTTTAAACAAATGTACACTGAAATGTGACAAGCATAATTTTACATGTATTTAGTTATAAATAATGATCTTAATACTATTGTTTTTGACAAAACAATTTTTTTTGCACTGTTATGTAATCCAATGTGAATGTTTTCCATTATACATTTCAGCGTTCATCAGAGGACACAGACATTGATGACCTGGTGGCCTCTCATCGTTGCCTTAGCGCCAGTAGTCGTGGAAACCTCCTATCAACAATAGCTGTAAGTGCATTATGAGCAAATTATACAACAAAGTTTGCTTTTTGAAATTGATTTTATTTCAAAAATTGAGTTTGAAATTTGGAATGAATAATTATGTTAAATCATTGAACATGAACGTCTTTAGATGGTTTGTTAGACTTTTGTTCAAGGCTAAGACTAAATTTTTTATAGCTTGAGCTATCAGATACATATGATTTTTAAACCTAAAAGAAATGTTCTAATTGTTTAAATCATTAATATTTACAGGATAGTCGAGAAAGTATCCTCAGTTTCTATAGCAATGCAGGAGAGGTGGATTATGGGAAAATTCCAGTTACGGGGGAGATATGTTTTGGTCTGGAATATAACTACAGGACTGGAACCCTGGAGATCCAGATCAAACAATGTAAGGGTCTGGCTCCAGCTGACACCAAAAGGAACAGATCCGATCCGTACGTACATTCATCCAGATAATGTATAGCTGTTCTTTGACCTGAGATTTTCTATAGTCAGAATATACTTTACAACAGAAAAAAAAAATCAAATATCTTATAATGTTGAAAAATTGTAGGTGTTGATGACATTTGAAAATGATCAAAATGTGGTCATGCATATAACTGTCATTAAATTTTACAAGCAAAGCTAGGTTAAGTAATCTGTTTCTTCTGAAACGTATAAGCAATGTACCTAAATATGTGAAATAAATCTATGCACTTGCTTAGAAAAAGGCTATCTTTCATGACTGCTATGATGCAAATATGAAAAAAAAAGCATTTAATTGATTCAGAAGAAGAAAGTTGTTGAATTAAAATTTAACACATTTAAAAAAAAAAATTCCAGATATGTCAAAACTTACCTTCTTCCTGACAAAACCCGAGGAGGAAAAAGGAAGACACGAATTATGAAGAACACCTTACACCCAGTATTTGAGCAGACTTTGAGGGTATTCAGCTTTTTAGTTCTTTGAAAATTATTCTCATTTTATCAAGCATTTAAGTAAAATTACAAACAGCTTCAGTTGGATGAATTTAGCTTTATCAAATTTCTGCTTATTAATAAATATGATGCCATGAAAATATTGCATATTAAGTTACATAGTTGATGATTTTGAAAGTTCATGTCATGAATGTATGACATTTTTTTGCCTTTTTTTCAGTACTTGATTTCAAAGAGTGAACTTGAGAACCGTACTCTCTGGGTCACAGTCTGGCACAATGACCGGTTTGGACGCAATGACTTCCTGGGAGAGGTCACCATCAACTTTGATTACTTTCGGTTCTCTGATTCTTCTGCCAAGTGGTACCCACTTCAAGAGAGGGTATGTATATTTGGTAATGACACAATGATATTTCCTTTACAGAAAATTTCAAAAAAACTATAATTTTAATGGTAGGACTAAGACATGCATGGATACATCTAGTATCATCAGGTATTCTGGGGGATAGGGAGGGGAGGGAGAATAAATTAAAATTATTTGGAAATGGTACATGTATATGAATATGAAAGTGTATAATGAATAAATCCTGTGAAAACTAGTGCCTCCAAAAAAATTAATATATCAAAATAATCTGTTTATAAGGGGATTTAAACTTGATAAAATCAGGAATAAAGAATCAAATGTAACTTTTAAGAAAAACCAATATAATTTATAATATTTGCTTGTGTGTTTTTTTCTTTTTTTTTGAGAGGGGGGGGGGGGGGTGTTAAATATATGCAGATTTTCATTCTATAACCTCTGATCAATTCAGAATTATATAAGAACATTGGTTGATGTATTCTTTCAAAATTACCTCATCCAAAACACAACTTTTATAAAAATTGAAACAATGACTGATTGTAGAAAGGAAAAAGGCCATTGCTGGTACTATGCTTGTTTTGAACAATGTTATGAATTATGCATTTGTTTGAAAACAAAAGACACAGAACAATTACAGAGTAAAAAGGAAACTCCTCTTTTGGATAAAAACTTTCTTCTTTCATATCGTCAAGTTTTGCATGATTGTGATAAAAACTGTATTTTTCATCTACTGCATGCTTTTGTTAATTGCTTTTTAGCCTGTTTCAGTCAAGCCTGTGGTTAAAGCTTTGTGTTTCATTAAAATATAATGAGACAATACCACTTTGAGAATTATTACGTAACAATGCTTTTGATTGTGAACTGTAGCATAATTATATACTTTGCTCAAATGAAATACTGTGAAATGCATCATCTCCATAGATTTCATTGTGTAATTACAGAAAAGAGAAATTGACATCTGCATGCTTCCTATTGCAAAAAAATATTCTCAGTTGACATAATAGAGGTTGTTGAATTGCATAACATATTGGAAATAATCATTCCATGAGGAATACATTGTACTTTTATTCTCAGTTCAATTTCATGGTGTTCTGTTTGTTGATGCAATATGATTTAAAATACAGCTGCTCTTTGTTGCATTTAATAGGCAACAAAAAAAGTATTAATAATCTTCATTTTAAGGTCATTGCAGGGTAAAAGGGGGGGGGGGGGGGGAGATATTGGAGTAAAACAAAATTCAAAATTGCTTTAATTGCACTCTTTGATATCTTGATGAAAGTGAATTTTGATTTTATTGGGTTAATCAATTTGATAAATTAAATTTAAATACAAAATTGTTTTTCTAAGATATTTAAATGAACGTAATAATGCTTGTTTTCTTTTCTCTATAAGTCAAAAGTAAATTTTATAGCATCCCCTGTATTTTGTAGATCGAGTCACAGCCAACTGCCAATTTAACCTACAAGGGAGATCTATTCTTAAGCATGAAGTTTGTCCCTCCAGAAAAAGTCAAGAAAGAGGACACAGTGACCTCCCCTTCCAAGAAGAAGATCAAGAGGGGAAGGTCAGAGGTTGGAGGTCCAAAGGGTCAACTTCATGTCCTTATTAAAGAGGCCAGGAACCTGAGTGCAGTCAGAAGCAGTGGCTTTTCTGATCCTTTTGTTAAGGGGTGAGTAGCTTTTTTAACAAGGTGGAAAGATATGTACAGTCAAACTTTGTTATCTCAAAATACTTCTGTATTAAGTGGTTGGGACTTCAATTATATTACTTTAACATATCCATGGTATTCCAGATATCGGTGTTCGAGATAATGAGGTGATGCAAGACTTCTGTCTTTTAATGAAGTAAAAGAAGCAAGGCTTCAAGAGTATTTATGATCAAAATTAATTAACTTCATGATTTGAAACAGGTACTTGCTGCCAGACAAACAGAAAGGCTTGAAACAGAAGACTTCTGTAGTCAAACGCAACTGTAATCCCATGTGGAATCACACATTTGTGTTTGATGATGTGTCCAAATCTGATCTCAAGGAAAGGTGCCTGGAACTCACTGTATGGGACCATGATAAACTGAGCAGTAATGAGTTCCTTGGGGGACTCAGATTTAATCTTGGTGTTGGTGAGTTGGTCTTTGTTGCTTTGTGTGTGTGTATGTATGGGGGGGGGGGGGGGGAGGTTAAAAGTGTTTAAATTTTAATATTTTTATGCATCATATGTCCTTCTACAACATCTGACATTATAATCATTGTCTTAATATATAAGATAGGGATTTGATCAAGTTCAAAGAAAATTATGTCAGGGTCATACTTAAACAAATACAAAGCCCATTTTAGATTACAACATTGTTTAACCTGTGTTTTTAAAATAATATATATTTATATTTCAAAGTCATTCTTCTTTTTTGTATTGGAAGTATCGGTGACATTTCAGGTAAAAGTTATGGAAAGCCAGTAGATTGGATGGATGCCCATGGAGAGGAGATTTCATTGTGGCAGGCCATGCTAGACCGACCCAATATCTGGATAGACTGTGCCCTCATGTTACGACCCAACATGGACAAACGCAAATATTAGACATTATCACCAACCCAATATCTGGATAGCCTTCAATCATATGACAAAGGCAAATAATAGACAACATCGCAGACCCAATATTTGGATAGACTGTGTCCTTTTACTATGATCCAGGATGGAAAACCGCAAATATTAGATAGCACTTTAAAAAAAAATTCATTCAATATTTCTTCTGCAAATGTAGCATGTTAAGCAAAAGTGATGTTTGCTTTGTGAGAATCTCATTCACTTGTTCAAGATCAGTATGCTGTAAGAGTTATATATTTTATCTTCAGTTGCTTTTTTGGGGGGATGGGGTGGGGGGAGAGGAAAATACTGTATGATATATATTTCAAATGTGAACATGGAACTCCAGTCTTACTGATGATTTTTTTTTGATGTCATGAGAAAACATTGCTTTATTCAAATTTCTGAGTGTGCAGGAAAAGTGAAAGTTGAATGACTGTTTAAAGTTTACATTAGATTTGTGCAATGAAAGATTAAAAGCATAATATATTTCATATGCAGACAACAAAATAGTCTAGATATTAAGGATGTTTGTAATATAAGGCCATGGGATAGTATGGTACAATTAAAAGATTAAATGAAAGATTGGCAGTGCAGAATGATGGTATATCTCTCAGTATTTTTCTCTGTATTATACTTGCATGTATTTAAAATATTCACTTTCAATATATTGGTTTGTAGAATTAAATTTGATGTTATGTTATAACTCTATGGTATTAATTATTTATTGTGGACTCCACAGGGTTGATTTGTCTCAAACGGTCTTTGAATTCTATGTTAAATATGTAATAAAGGTAATGATTTTTATTCACAGTTGGGGAATATTTTACTGATATTTATATTATTTGGTAAGCTTCATATACCTGCACCAGATCTGAAACCTTATATACTTCCTGTTAATTATTTACTGAGTTTTGTTTATACCTGTTGATATCTGTTACTATGGGTAATATTTTATCGTTATTGAATATGTTTCTAGATGTTACATTAAATCCATTTCCATGTGCTGTGTTTATTGTATAATTGATAACATGTAGAAAATGAAACTTTGCTCAACACTAGCATTTGTAGGCCAGATTTGGGCCAGTATTGTATAGAAAAGAATGCTTATTTTGCTTTCATTGACTTTTTAAATTTACAAGCAAATGATGGCGACAAAAACGTCCGTTTGAAGTTGTACATATATATAGTTGTAAATGAGAAGATATGAGGTAGAGTTTGATAGCTTGAAATGCGATGGAAATTGAAAGTGCATACATGTATACATGTACATATATCCTTTCTTGTTCTTTGCAAGTTTTTTGAATTTTTAACTGTAAGAATTTCCAAATTCATTCTGCAAAGTAGAAATTTGGTCATTCTACTTCATCATAAATAAAAAAAAATGTTACAATTTATTACAGAAATGAGGAAATCCTATTGTAATATTTATTACGTTTTTTTCCTGTTGGTCTCTATTGTTACTGTACATATAAATTATTACTTACTGTTGATATCTGCTACCTTTATAATAAAACAATACTCTTGATTACATACAGAGTTTTTCTTGATGATTTTATTTCTTTGTTTAAGGGGTTCCAATGCAAACTAGATATCATTGAGGAGGTGATCCTTTTTGTACACAGAAAAGTTCTTGCTTCATTGTAAAGGAGGAAAAAAATTGCAAATTGTTTTTTTTTTCTAGTAAAAATCTTCATTAGGTTAACACTGCCTACCATTTAACCAAGGTGAAATATGAACCACACTGGTTTAAGGGCAGAAAATACCTTCTCCAGAAAAGGAATTTACACGAATATCTGCCTTGATCTTGAATTCTGACCTTTTTACATGGAGATCTGCCATGGGATACAAGATAGATAATTCTATTTACTGGTTTTTGATTTTGACAAACAGTGTTGCTGTGGTTACTATAAATAAAAATTTTGGAGAAATTCTTTCAAAACCCCCAACAGTATTAGTCTGATTTCCATAAAACTTGGTTCACTAGTAGACTAAGCTAACAATACAGTTACATGTATATGTACGGTCAAACCTCGTTATCTCGAACTTGATAGGACCAAGAATCTGAGAATTCAAGATAACCAAGGTAAAAATCATAAAAGAAAAAGTGGCTGGGATTGCCAACTACTTTGACATATTCCTGGCATTTGAGATACTAGTATCGGTGTTCAAGATAAAAAAAAAAAAGTTCAGTTGTACATCAATTTTGATTTCAATGTATGGTGTTGCCAGGGTAACTAAAATAAAATTTTCTTCCAGTCCAATGGTCCAGTTTAGAATGGCGCTTGGGTTCAAGTCTTTATGTGACCAACACATCCTCTCCTTCTGCGTGTGTATCCATGCATAGGCCGAAAAAAATTAATCTTTAGTTTCTCGGGCCAAAAATGCAATGAGGCAGGTTGGTTTTTTTTTGTGAAGCAGGAATCTTGGTTCAACAAAATGATGTCAACTGATTCTTACTTTTTTGTACTCCTATTTTGGATGCAATATGTACTCAGCTTTAACTAATGTTATTTCCAACATTTTTATAAAACGTTTATTCATAAAATACCGTTTAAAGAAGATAAATATTGTACATGTATATGTAATAAAAAACGTCTTTCTAGCATGTATGAAAAAGGGCATAACTCAATTCTCTTTTTCAACTTGAAAGAAAATTGAGTTATTTCCCTTTTCAACAGGTCAATAAAATTGATCAATACGGCAGTGTTTGACCTGATGTGGCGGTGTCAGAGAAACTATAGAGTAATTTTTGTTTTGGCCTTAATTATTATAGACAAAACTTTCTTTAAAAAAAGTTTTATTATCACGTAAAAAGATGAAACATTGTAGTGAGGCTGTGCCACTGAGTGTTAATGAAAAAACACACACACATTTTTTTTTTATTTATTGCATTAAGAAATTCTGAGTGACACTATCTAAAGTCAATGATATTACAAGTGACCTCGGGTCCCGTCTGTTCTTTTTGCAAACAATGTGACCTTTGACCTGTTGCCCTATTTGAAAAAAAAGAAAAAAAAATGGAATTTTTTTTTATTTGGAGAAGCTATATACTGTAGACGAACATTTTTTCGCACGGGATTAATTTACATTAAGCAAGTCATCATAAATTTTCTTGGAAATTTGTCACAGCATACTTTAATTAAGTACATTTAAAAAATAAAATGGCAATCCAAGAAATCAGCGTAATTTTTTACCCCAAATAAACAGAATGAACAAGAGGCCCAGGGGCCACATCGCTCACCTGAGCACTATGGCTAGGAAAAAGCAGAAATCAGTTCAGTCTTGAAAGGTTGAAAAGTTTAAATATAAAAGTGGTTGGGGGGGGGGGGGGTCATGAATTGAACAAATTTGAATCTACATTATCTGAGGATTCTTCCATTTAAATATGACCAATCATGGCTTTGCTGTTCTTGAGTAGAAGATTTTTAAAGATTTTACCTATGTATTCCTATGTAAAACTTTGATCACCCATTGTGGCCCCATCCGACCCCCAGGGGTCATTTTGAACAAACTTGAATGTACACTATCTAAGAATGCTTCCATATAAATATGACCAATCATGGCTTTGCTGTTCTTAAGAAATAGTTTTTTTTAAAGATTTTTACTATGTGTTCCTACGTAAAACTTTGATCACCCATTGTGGCCCCACCCTATCCCCGGGGGTCATGATTTGAACAAATTTGAATCTACACTACCTGAGGATGCTTCCATGTAAATATGACCAATCATGGCTTTGCTGTTCTTGAGAAGAAGATTTTTAAAGATTTTTCCTATATATTCCTATGTAAAACTTTGATCACCCATTGTGGCCCCACCCTATCCCCGGGGGTCATGATTTGAACAAACTTGAATCTACACTACCTGAGGATGCTTCCTTGTAAATATGACCAATCATGGCTTTGCTGTTCTTGAGTAGAAGATTTTTAAAGATTTTTCCTATATATTCCTATGTAAAACTTTGATCGCCCATTGTGGCCCCACCCTATCCCCGGGGGTCATGATTTGAACAAACTTGAATCTACACTACCTGAGGATGCTTCCTTGTAAATATGACCAATCATGGCTTTGCTGTTCTTGAGTAGAAGATTTTTAAAGATTTTTCCTATATATTCCTATGTAAAACTTTGATCGCCCATTGTGGCCCCACCCGACCCCCGGGGGTCATGATTTGAACAAACTTGAATCTACACTACCTGAGGATGCTTTCACATAAGTTTAATATTTTCAAGCACAGTGGTTCTTGAGAAGAAGATTTTTTAATGATGCCATTAATTTTTCACGAATTCTTAATTATCTCCCCTTGGAAGAATGCGTGGCCCTTCATTTGAACAAACTTGAATCCCCTTTACCCAAGGATACTTTGTGGCAAGTTTGGTTGAAATTGGCCCAGTGGTTCTGGAGAAGAAGTCGAAAATGTGAAAAGTTTACAGACGGACAGCTAGACAGACAGATGGACAGACGGACTACAGACAAAATGTGATCAGAAAAGCTCACTTGAGCCTTCGGCTCAGTTGAGCTAAAAATTGTGATTCCGCTAAATTATGACCCTGTAGAAAAAAGTGTGCTTACAGTACCTTCATGCCAGATACATGATTTTAGTACTGATGGAAAATGTGTCAGAAGACAAAGTTTATGTCTTCTAATACATATAAACATGGCCACGAAGGAAATATTGTGTATTAAGTATTTACATTGTATCACTACTGTCATATATTTCAAATATAATCAACATCTTTGAGATGCATTCAAGTTTATTTAATACCTACCTGTAGTAACTTTCAATGGTTTCTCTAGAAGGAATATTGTTTGTTTCCAGTGAGTGGATGTGGCCTGTGGCCCAGTGGAAAACATCACCTGAAATTATGGATGTCTGTGATCTACTGCAATTAGGGCTGAGTATCAAATGCTACCAATATAACGTACAATACACATCACCATACGGTCAAGCCATACAACATAAATCAAGATACAGGCATAAATAATTATTGAATTTTTAAGTGACATCTTTATATATTTTTGTTGCTAACCTCTGAGATAAGAGAAAAATAACAACAATGGCTAACCAAACACTGCTTACACATCTAACTGCATAAAACAGTAAATGAATTAATTCAATTGTCACACATATTAACATGGCATAAGAAGACAAACGGGTAGAGGTCAGACAGGTTCAAACGCTGATGGCCAGATAGCTCAATTGGTAGTCTAGAGCACCTGTCTAGAGATTCAGGAAGCCCTGGTTCAAATCGAGGTCTGGTCTGTCACATATTTCTCCTATCCTGAAACAATTGGTGCAGTGACCAGGATCTTTTATTATAAAAGTCCTACATCTGGTTATACATGTATTGATATACATGTAGTAATCTGTTTATGCACTTATTGAACTCTGTTGTTCTTTATCTAAAACAAAGCTTTGAACATTTCACAATAAGCCATCTCACCTTGTTAGAACAACCTTTATGAAAGAAAATGTCAAAGTAGCCAACTACAGCATTTATTTGGCCCTCCCCAGAAACTGTGAGAGTGAAGTCTTGTGAAAACTGTAGATCTGATATGGAACATGTGCAGGTGTCTAAGTCCTACAATAACAATGATTGATATTTTTAAACATAAAATACATGTACATACATATGTAAAATATCTTTGCAAATTACTGAGATAATTTGAGCACTAAAATCAAAAATATGAATTTTTACAGTTACATGTAGGTCATACCAAAACAAACAGTAACAACAATACTGTGCTCAAAATATGTATAGAGATATATTGTAATGGGTTTAAATTCCTTACTGTTAAAAATTTACATGACCTTTAACTGAACTCATTGACGACTAATGAGACTGAATGTCAAATGTGAAAATTTTATTCCAAAGTGAGTAACTGTTAATATATGTTATAGTCTTATAGATCACAAACATGCAATATTTATACTTAAAACATTGCTGTGACGTCATGCCTTGTATACAAGGATTTCTTGATTAACAACATTTAGCAAGGGGAGTAACTCTCATGCCTCATACAATTCTGTATGTAAAATTATCAGACTGTTTTTGGTCCTAACAGGTCTCAAACAGTCTGATAATTTTACATACAGAACAGTATTCGGCATGTATCCATTACTTAAAAAAAGATAGACACCTCTTAATAAGACTGTGATAAGTTAAAACTTTCCATTTGATATAATTTCATCTATAGTTTAGACTTTCTGTGTGCAGTGAAATGCTTAATACTCTTTTGTAATGTCAACCTCTAAGACAGTGACAGACACGTAAATTTTGCATCAGAAAAATCAGGAAATTTTCACAAAGTTAAGTTTATAAACTAAGTATTACCTATCTTCAAAAGTGAAGGCTATACATGCATATCATCTCATGATTCTGAACAATACTCAAAATAATCATTGTACTTGTCCTACGGAAAGTTCAAATAAAAACAACTGGTCCAATAAATGTTAACAAACCTTGACGATCACATGGTCAGACAGAATTTTCTCTGCCTTGACAATCTGCACGCTAGCTTCTTTGATCACTTCAGATTTCATACAAGTCATTTTAAATCCATACACATCATCCCAGTAGGTCACATGATTTGTGTGAAGGTCAGGGTCATCTAGAGCTGCTAACACAATCGTACATCTATCTGGGTGGACTGAAAAATATAAACTTTTACTAAATTAACTTAATTATCTTATTATTAAATTAACTGTTTAACTTTCACAATTATGTTATTTATAAAATCTAGAGCAGAATTTCAGAGATTGTCTTGCTCATGTTGACTACAGGAAATAGTGAAAGACTTTCCAGGTACTAGATGGCCTATAAGCCGTATTCATATGCTTAGGATTTTATAGTGGTGTTGTGTATTTACCTACTCCATTTGGCTGTAGATACTTATCCCTGGCATAAAGTACAGAATCCAACATGGACTCGAACAAGAGAAAGTAACCCATCCACTCGGAGATGATAATATCCACTTTATCCACAGGCAAATCCACGTCTTCAATCCGTCCTTTGATTAAAGTCACAATGTTTTCTAACCCATTTTCTCTGCAAGTCATAAAAGAATCTAGTACATACAAATGTATTACATTCAAACATTTTGACAAGCAACATGGAAATTTAAATTATCAGCTATTTATGCATATAGAACATGGATTAGTTCAATACACAAACTCAAAAGAAAATTGAACAGATGCATGAAGATTTGAATTCAAGTGTACATGTAATGAAATACATGTACATGTACTGGGCTTATATTCTGGCAAAAAAAAAAAGCCATTACAACAGCAGTTTTTTACATAACGCAGTGTGATTGGAATCTTTTGCAACTTTATACATTTATGTCTCCACAAAGAAACAGAGCCCAAATTTATATCCACCAGTGCTATTTTTGACTTATCACCCGATTTTGCACCATTTTAACATCACCCAGACATAATAAGAGAGATAACTTTGTTTCTGTTGAATTCACTCTATGAGGAAAATAAATTGGTCATGAAAATTTCCAAGCGAACAGTATTTCTTGGAGGCTATCATCCTACATTTTACAAAAAGGCAAACAAACCTAACGATGTCCATTGCCTGATAAACAATTTCTGATTGGTCGACCCCAATGACCTTTCGGGCCCCAGCCTTAGCAGCAAACATGGAGAGAATACCAGTTCCACAGCCGACATCTAACACAACTTTGTCCTTAAACAAGTCAGGATTCTTGTACATAAAATCCCTGTAGCTTTCTGTTCTCACTTTGTCCTGCGTAGAAACAAAATCATGATAATGGATAATGCATGTGGCTGTAAATGTTGATGAGAGGGATGATTTAGAAAATTTTTAATCCATATAATAGACTGACAAACATACATGTGTAACACTACTTATGATTTGATTTAATATCAAGTGTTTTTTTACTTAAAAATGTAAAAAAAAAAAAAAGAAATACAATAAATAAATAAATACTTGAAGATGAATCTCTTACCTGAGATAAAAAATTTATTAAAACTTTGCCATCCTATTTAATGCATGTACGGTACGTACTACCCTTGGAATCATTAAATTATTGGTAACTTTCTGAGGATGCTTGTATATAAACATTTACGGGCATGATGAGTGTACATATACATTCTAATTTTTAAATTACATTTATGTAATTTAAAAATATTTTTAAATGCATAAAATGAATGTTATCTTTATGTACCTTTAACATCTCCTGATGGATGCTGAAATGTGCATAAGATCCAAAGTAAACATCGTCTTCATCCTCTGTCAACATCTGTACAGCATTCTCTGATTTAATTGGCTGGGTTGGTTGTGACATCAGCAGATCTTGAGTGACTTTTCTAAAAATTGAGTTATCTCTAATGTTTAGATAATAAACAAATGCACAATTTTTTTCTTTCCCTAAAATCGGGTCTGATGTCTATCATAGTAAATATTAATTATAAAAGTGTATACTTTTCAGTTTTACCTTTGCTGTCTCTACAGACAAAAATATCCTCTGTTTACCTGTAACTTTTGACAACTGAGAAAAGTGGATTACATTTCTTATAAGTACTTGAGTCTTCTTTCAAACAAACACTATATGATATTGTAAGAGCCATATAGTTGATCTAAGTGTACACAAGTGATATTTTTGTTGGCTTATTCCATCAAACTCACTTCACTTTCTCAAAGTCTCCCAGAACTCTGCTCAACTCTTCCTCTAAATGTTTGATTCGACATTCAGAGTCTTTAAGACGAGCACAAGTGGACTCCAATTCTGACTGGCTGACACCATTCATCTCTGATGAAGAACTGTTCTGAGCAGCCTTCTGATTAGTCAATTTTTCTATATTTAATGGAGGCCCATCAAAAGTTATACTTCCTCCAGGGCCCATAACTCCACATGTGCCACCATCTTCTTCATCTTCAATGTCTATGAGGGAAAAAAAGACAATTAACTTTTTGAAAAAAATATACATAGTATATCACACATAATTAGCTTTACAAAACAAAATTTGGGAGATACCACAAAAACTACAATATATGAAAAGTTAAGAAAAATAATGAGATCATTGTCCTAAACCAAAACTGACAGCATTTTTCAAGATCAGCATTGGTACACAACTTTTTATATGAAGGTTTTTAAGTGAAACAATGCACAGCTGTTTTCATGATGTTGGTTCAAGGGTTCTTAAATCTTTCAATGAAATTTCTTACCATACTGCAGTAATAAATCCTCGGGATCTGCAGGGTTCATAAAATCATTGTTCTCCCAGGGCAGGCTACCTTGTGTGAATGAGGATTTGACATCTTCTGGTGAAGGTTTCTATAAATTTGGAATGAAAGGAATAGGTCATTAAACATGTTAAAAACAGTTCAATCTCAATCCTTGTGTAATCTATGTCACTTTAAAGTTTAATGACTTTATTAACTACCTTTTGTCACTAATTTACATTATTTTACATAGCATTCTTTAATACTTGGGATACATTTAAATTTAAAGTATATATCTATGCAAAATATCTGACTCTGGCTTGTGTTCAACATTAAATTTTAAAAAAAGTTTCAAAATGTAAAAACTGTAAATCATAATTCATTTAAAAACTGAGAATACATGTGACTTCCTTCTCCATTGTTATCATGATTATACATGTATACTCATCTGGTTTGTTTTTATATCAACTGGTACAAAGAATCTACATTCTAATGCAGCTGTGTTGTAACCCCCAATTTGATTGGCTAATGACCTGCCTGATGTTTTAGGCAGTTAAAAGAGTATAATTAAACCACAGTGAAAGCTTTTGATTGTGATGACATAATAGAATGAGTCGACATAAAAACACAAACCTTCAAGACATATTTCAGATAAAGAAACACAATAAAATAAGGGGTAAACATCAAACAAAAATATATTTTTATTGTATTAGAATGGGAATAACTATCTTATCCTTTGTTATTTTCGACCGTTAATGCTGATTTAACAGTGGCAATCACACATATCTGTTTTACTGGCCCTGCTGATGTGTTGCCAGTGAAACTCAGACTGCAACCGTTAAATTAGCATTAACGATCACAAATAACAATGGATAGGATGATTTTTCCCCAACTTTATGAACAGAAAGCTTGATAACCATTCAGTGTTTGAATAAGAAATGTACAAACCTTGAGTCTGATATAATTAATCATTTTGATATACTGAATACAGTCTACTCCATGTTGCCTGCTCCACCTGATAAGGTCAAGGTCATGTGATGTCCTACAGTGTGTAAAGGTGTCCTCGGCTGAAGTAAAGTTCTGGGAACAGAAGAGACATGTGACCTGGCTGTCCTCAGTGTCCTCATCAAACTCCTCCCATTCTTCACCCTCCTCAGAATCCTCCATCAATTCCTCTATAAATATGGATATTAATAGTAGGTGAATTTATTTGGGAAAAAAATCATAAATAAACAGAAAAAATATCAAGCAAAGAAATAAACAAAATAGAAAAATGAGGCATATAACATAAATTAATTTCTTTCTTACATTCTAGTAAATAGGGCATATAAATAAAACTGGACTTTGTCTTCAATATCGGCTTGAGATTAATAAATTGGACAAAAACCTCTGGCCTCTTAGGATATTTTTGTGCCAAATAGTTTTAATTATTAACAATTAACAGAAGTGGTCCTTAGCAATATTATACAATTATGGACTCTTTCGGTGGTGAATATGGTTTGTTATTCACCAGAAAAATATCAATATTGACCGAGGCGAAGCCGAGGTCAATATTGATATTTTTCTGGTGAATAACAAACCATATTCACCACCGAAAGAGTCTATAATTGTTTTATTATATAGTCCGGATTTGAATAAATAAGACATTGAAGGCTGCATGACGACATTCATGACTGAAATGCATGACGACATTCTTTTCATTTACGAACTTCTGTCGTTGAAAAATAAAAAAAATGTCCAGATTACAAGTTATAACGTCTGTGTTTTTCTTCCGCTGTGCGTAAGACATTGACGTGTTTGGAAAATAATCTTGCGATAGGCTTGCCTGACATTTTACCTGCTCAGATACACAGCTGGCTCTGGCCGTTGCAACCAATCGTTTACAACGTTGTTTGAGGATTTGATTGTGACGTCGCAATGCCGCTGCACGCTCACTGACCCTCCGGTGAATACGGCTTCAAATCCGGTGAATATGTAGTGTTATGAACTGTTTGCTTTTGTATAGATTATATAGGGACTATAAATAGACTATATAATAATCATTATTAATGGACATTATTATATAGTCTATTTATAGTCCCTATATAATCTATACAAACGCAAACAGTCATGCAGCCTTCAATGTCTTATTTATTCAAATCCGGACTATATAATAAAACAATTATGGACTCTTTCGGTGGTGAATATGGTTTGTTATTCACCAGAAAAATATCAATATTGACCTCGGCTTCGCCTCGGTCAATATTGATATTTTTCTGGTGAACAACAAACCATATTCACCACCGAAAGAGTCCATAATTGTATAATATCAACTTGTTGGAATGGAATTTAATTATGTTAATGTTATAGATGAGTCAGAGTGTTCTTCAATTCAAAGTTGTGTGAAATTAATTTAAGCTTTAAATAGTAAATTCTATTGAGTAAATCGAGGACACTCGAACTAACATATTAGCATCACGAATTAGAAATCGGATGTTTTGTGAGGATTCAAATTACTCGATTAAAGGTTGTTTATTTTTTTTGGAAACACTATCAATAACGTTATTTTAAAACAACACAAACTTATCAGTAACAATCCAGGAAAAAATAATATCTCACACACAGTGACACACGTGTTTACCTTTCTGAAGTTTTTCAGCCATGTTTACAGTGTACGATTCGGAACTCCTCTAGTCACTTCTTACCATGCCAGTGGTGGATCCAGTATTCTCTTTAGAGAAGTGGACAGGCTTTCGCCTACATCCACGAAGTGGATGTAGGCGAAAGCCTGTCCACTTCTCTAAAGAGAATAGGAGAGGGGTCTGTCCCTCGAAATCCGCCAGTGCATGCTTGCTTACTCGAGTGAAAGTTTTTGTTTCTTGCTTGTTCTTGTTTTTTTTTTTAAATATATTTTAAAGATTTTAATGTTTTACAGTGTATTCAAATGGCAAGCACACTCACTGTTTTGAGGTTTTGGCATTTTATTTCGCGACGATTGTCATCTGCCATAAAGCTCACCTGAGTAGCATCGATTTTTTTTTTAAATGGGCGGCGGGGGTGGTGGGGGGGGGGGGGTCTACATCACCTCACCGCATCAAACAATTTAAGTGGCGGGCTCAAAATTATAATTGTAACAAGCAAAAAACAAAACAAAAAAAACAACAAACAAACAAACAAACAAAAAAAAACAAACAAACAAACAAACAAACAAACAAACAAAAACAAACAAACAAAACAAAACAAAAAACAAAAACTGAAAACAAGTTTCTTTGCATCTTCGCTAGCCAAGCGTTTCTGATCCGCTACTCTAGCTCCTCACAAACTTTGTATTTAATAGCAGATCAGAAACCCTTGGCTAGCGAAGATGGTTGCTGTGGGGGGAGGGGTGGCACTTAAGTCAGTTTCCCGAGTCAATTTTCTTCAGATACATTGACTCTCCTTACCATTTTTAGGAGTGGTCCTTATTTTAATTCATTTTCGGATTTTTCGGGGGGGGGGGGGGGTTCCCACTTTTGAAACCGTTGCTACGGGGCCTGTCAAAGCATATTAAAACTGGAATCAAATGTTAAAAACTCATTGTTTCGAAATCCTTTAGCTTAAAAAAAGTCCACAATTTCAATAAGACCGCGGAACATTATCTGGCAAGATTGGAAATATGCATCTATATAACGTCATTTCCATATGTTACAGTCAAAACATTTAATGATAGACAATGAAATGGGCGGGTACTATTAATTGTTTTAATTGGATTGAAATTCTTATTTGAAATGCATTTTCAATCCACCTCATGCAGTTTCGCTTGTAAGCACACAATGACTGATTGATCCAGAAGACAAATAATTTCAATTTCGGAATAGTTTGAAATTTTTTCTGTCCAATGTTTTTAAAGAAATTAAAAGGGACAAACATTTGATTCCTAGCTGTTTGGAATGTGTTTGTGTGTGTGTGTGGGGGGGGGGGGGGGGGGGTGAACGATCTTGGAAATAAAAGAGGAAAGTTTTTTTTTTTTTTTTTTTTTTTTTTAAATGGACCCTCCTATCTGTTTTTGTATGTCAAACATTTATTTGTGAAGACAGAAATAAAAAAAGTAGCTCTTGTCTTCCTACAAAATAATATAGTCTGTGGTAAAGGCATGCTCTGACGCGACAACCCCCTTTTTTTTCTCCCTAGAATCAAATATCCGTCCCTGAAAAAAGTCTCTGTTTTCTGTTACTTTTGCGTGTCCTTAAAATTATTGGGTAAAAAAACCCCATGGATATATGAATTTCAAACAACATGTATCTGGTAATTGAAATTATTTGTCTTTTGGATCATATATCAACACATTGCGTACATGAAATAGCTGAGGTGGATTTAAAATGCATTTCAAACTAGAATTTCAATCCGATGTTTTCTTGGACGTCTGTGTATAGTACCCGCCCATTCCACTGTCTATATCAGTATTTCCAATCTTGCCAGTTAATGTTCTACGGTCTAATATCCACCGTTGGCATATCTGTCATGTTTTTCGTGCATTACATACGAATAACTAAGATCCGAAGTTCTCTTCATGCATCTCTTTATCATGCATAAAATCTTATGGAAACTCGGAGGTAGATATACTAACTCTACATGAGCGTACATGTATACTGCACAGCAAACATCCTTGATAGGAGGTCAGCAACCACCAGACTCAGTACCAATTAAGATGATCACAGTGGGACATGGGAGCAAGTGCATACAGAGATGGGCACAGGATTATAGACCATGCAGCATGGACGTCTAATTGTGACTGAGTGTATACAAAATTTCAAGTATATACCTGAAAGTATAATTTGTAATTGGACATTTTTTGCAAGTAATTATGATTTGATTAATTATTTCTTGCAAAATGACAGGTAATTGGAATTACATTTCAATTACATTTCGTATAATCTCACAATAAAATGAAAACTTCAATTTCAAATTTTTGATTTCTTTGCAGAAAAAAAAATTATAACCCACTCAAAAAGCGGAAAATCTCAATCAGTTCTGAGATTTAATCTATTTTTTTTTTCTTTTTATAGTTATTCTCCAACAACAGAAAGGTTGTGATTAGTCATATTACTTTCATTTTTTTTTTTTTTCAAATTGTAGGGCAACTGAAACTGATGTGGAGTTTCTATCAGCCGGGGGAGGGGGGGGGTGAGCGAAATCATGCGTTAAAAAATTAATATAGGTAGGACTTTATGTATCGAAATCACCCATTGAAATTTTCAGTTATAAAAATTTCTATGTAAAAGTAACCAAAAAAAAAAAAAAAGAAAAAAAAAGAAAAGAAAAAAAAAAGACCCTGGAACCCCCCCCCTTCCAGGATTTATATAGGTTAATGGGCAAGTTATTAAGTTCTTTTTTCTTTAAAAAAAATGCGAGTCTGACATCTGTCACCGGCAGTTGATGTGGAAAATAAAAATCCTAGATCCGCCATTGTGATACAAAACAAAAACATTTTCCTTTGGAAGTCCATAGTATTCTCAAAATCATTACAAATCTTCAAAAGTACAAAAAAGCTACAATAAGTTACATCAAGTTTGTTCAAATTATGAATATTATATATGAAAATATATATAAATTGTGCGGAGTCGCGATCAAAACAGAGTGTTAAAAGTTTGACATAGGAATATGTAGGTGGAAATCGGAATCAACTCTCAAAGAAAAGAGGGGCAACAAAAAGTCATACTCGTTTTCAAACGTCCATATTTGGTGTAGATTCAAGCGTATCTCCTGGCCTAAGTTGAGAAACTTTCGACCTAAGAATTACTGAGCGAAAACAAAAAAAAAGTTATCTCGAGAATAGATGGACTATACAGTTTGTTTTATTAAGTTCAAACGCAGGTAGCGAAGATTTAGATCATGGCTTTGCGCATAAAATTGGGCCACACTATTTGATCCTCTATAATATATATATATTTTTTCCAGGAAGGTTTATCTCAATTTTTTTTCATCTATTTAACTTTAACTCAAATTTAAGGAGAAAAAATATATCAATATATCATATCAGTTACGTAAATACATATATTTGGGTAGGAAAGAAAAAGAGTTGGGGTGAGCGATCTTTTACCTGTCTAGCTGCAGATCTGTAGCTCCCTGATCTGGAAAAAAACTGGGATGTACCAGCAGAGAGCTACAGTGCCACCCATTGAAAAAAGTGTATATTTATTGCGCACAAAAAAGTGGGCTGTTTCTCGATTTTTTTTTCACCGTATATTTCAAAATATTACTAAAATATTACTTACTGTATTTCTACCATATTCTTTTATTAATTCCACAACAAAACTGCATTTAAAAGTCATGCACGAAGTCCATTGGACCGAATTATCTTGCCACCTAATATGGCAGTTAAATAGGCGAACTTTTTAATGGTCTAAATTTCAGGTCCAGGAGGGCTATAAACAACGGTTTGGGAAATGTTTTGTTGTGGAAGTAATACAAGAATATGCTAGAAATACACGGTTAGTAAAATTTTGAGATGGCAGCATAAATAAACGGAGAAATAAATCAAGAAAACAGCGCAATTTTTTGTGCGCAATAAATATACACTTTTTTCATTGGGTGGCATTGTAGTTCTCTGGTCGTCCATCTCAATTTTTCAGACCAGCAAGCTACAGATCTGCAGCTACTACCTGTTTTCTCCTCGTTCTCGTTGAGAGTAGATCAATTCATCAGTTTTTCGAAAGAAATATAACAAAATAATGCTGTCTATTACTAAAATTGAAGTTCAGAATTTTTGTTTTATACATATTTTTTCCAAGCGCGTTAAGTGTCTCCATGGTAAAATATGTTGATGTACACTTTTAACGCACTTTGAAATAAAAAATTCAAAGTGCGTTGATTTTGTCCCAAATTTAACGCACTTTGAATTTTTTTTTCAAAGTGCGTTGCCACAATGCATATTATACATGTTGTACTTTATTATCTGTCCATGCATAAGGCGCTGGCTAACGGATTGAAGAGGCATTAATGTAGCGGTATGTACACTTACAAAATTAATGTAGCGGTAATGTATAGTATTTTGTAGCGGTAATGAGTTTGCAGCGGTAATGACAGTTATTTTGAAAATATAGTCAGTGGTAATGTAATGCACCCATTTTACATGTAAGAGCATTTGTGATTTTGAATTCTCGCTTCAGCGAAAATAATGTAAAATATCATCATGAATTTCTTGCTACGTAAACATTTTGGTAATATGTCTTCCTATTGTCATGTTGTAAATTTTGAATTTACCGGGTGGCAGTAAAATTTTATATTTATTGCCACCCGGTAAATTCAAAATTTACAACATGACACTAAATCTAAAAGAGCCCTGGACATGTCAAAATGTTACAAGCTTACTTCGCATATTTGATGAATATTTTCACAATACTATAAATTATGAGAGCATACCTACCTTGTGCAATGGTGGCAGAATATATTGTTGTATGTACAGGAATATTTACGATACTATATTTAGTATTCACACAAAACATATATTCTTGTGGAACCTTAAATAGACAACAAGTCTGTTACTAGATTACATTGTTTAATTGTATATCTGTTGAACATTCACAACATGTAGCCAGAAAAAGAAGAATATAGGTTGTAAACAGATGATGTTCCATGAAAGCTATCAATCCAAGCCTTATCTCCTGCTTCCATTCTTACAACAGCCATTTTACTGCATGACATGTGGATACCATGACCGTTATTGTGACAATGGTTGTATGCCCTTCTTTTACCATGCAAGACAAGAGAGGTGTAAGCACCTTTGTTGGTGTACGTCATTGTTGTCCAGTCAAACACGTACACTCCCAATTTCGGGGCCGTGAAAATCCCTTTAACTGCGTTGTAACCTCCTCCTTTATTCAAATCAACATTTCCAAACATGACAATGTTCCCCTTACTTACTGACTGAACACTTCCTTTGGCTTTGGCATCGAATGCTATTACCATATTTTCTAAAAACAAATAAAGTACCTGTGTAAATGAAATACATGTGCTCAATGCATATGCATTATATCAAGGATGCAACTCAGTATCTTACTTCTGTCACGGTTGTTTTTGCAGTGGTCTTTTACGTATCCAACAGCTACACATGTTTTGGCGACACTGTCATAGTCGTCTCTGAATGATTTCAGGCTGGGCCGGGGTGACACTTTGTCCGTGTTAGTGATGACAAAAATTGAACTTACTCCCACAACAAACAGAAGGGAATGCATTCTACAAAATTAATGATAAACACTTTGATTGAGTTCCGCATATTGGATTATTATATACATGTATTAATTACTGAAATCTTCATTATTATAAAAGTTTTTGTTCAATGTTACGTCATGCGAATTGTCTGTGATGATGAAAGAGTGGTTAGCTTTCGGAAGGAAAAAAAATAAAGAAATTGTATTCAGAGAAAATTATGAATAGCTTAAACGTAATGTTTCCGCCATTCGTTTTTATATATTTATTCATGTTAATCGAGTATACTTAAAAAGCAATATTTCCAAAAATTGAAGGATTTCTGATTCAAAATACTTTCTTTGGAAGTTAAAAAAAATGATTGTATAGGTATCTTTTACTTAGATGTTTTGAATAATGTAGTGGTAATTTAACGACGAAAGTTCTTCATTTATGGAGCTAAAATAATTTATACGCTATATATATAGTTACAAATTGCTTTTTATCCTTTATCAAACTACGTTTTATTCTTAATTTATTTTCAGTATAAGAAGTTTTCTTACCTGTTGTTAGGAATACTTGATATTTTGTTTTAACGCCAGTTGAGATGCAACCTTTCTTTATAGTATAAGCTTTTATATATTTTATTCCTAGCGTGCTGTCATACCATTTGGTAACATATTGCAATCGTATCATTTGATACCAGCAACGAAAAATATTTTAATCTGAACGTTTACCAAATTCGACTAAAATATATCAAAAGTACCTGTAGATACATAAATATTCTATAAATTTTAGTGTCTAAGTATATATTGTATAATATTATGTATCAAAAAGGAACTTTTTTTTTTTTGTTTATTGATACCAGTTTGTCATTATTTTCACAAGTCTGGAAAAAAGTACAAGTATCTTTGAGACGCAGTTGTTAAGCTTGCTTCTTTAAGTCACATATTGTTGCTTTATTTTTGAGATTCTAGTTCTTTTTAGAGACAAATTTTTGAAATAATTACTGTAACATTCTAATTTAGCGATGGGTTGTGAAACAGCGAATAATGTGAATTAGTAAAACTTAATATATTACAGAATTAATTTATTTTAGTGATCATATAAATATTTCTTTGACTTTCTAAACTGAAAGAAAAGAATTCACGCATTTCCTTGAAACTCAACATTTAGAAACAGGAAAAATATTTTAGAAAAACAAATCGGTTGAAAACATTTTTAATGTCTGTAGGTCTACAGATTTTCGATAGGTTTTCAAAATATCTGTGGACTAGCGCCATAAAATTGAACCTGCTTAAGGTACCTCAATCAATTTTAACACAGTTAGCATACTATTTTCTATATATAGAATAAAACATGAATCATAAATTGTTAATGTTTTTGAATTCTGACGTAATTTTATATAAATCAATGATAATCAATATTTATTTTATTCTTCTAGCTAAATTATAAGCAATTTTTATTTAAAAGTTATGATTTTGAAAATAGGAAATATTTAGAATTAAGTATACCTGCTAAATAAATAAATTAGTTTAATTTGTTCGGATCAACATTCACGCATAGGTTCTCTTTATTTCTTGATCAAACATATGTTACAATTTATTTTAAGAAATACTTTCTCACATATCGGCAATTATCAATGGTAAAGTTAATTTGTAATATAAACATTTGCCTGTCTATCTATTCATCTGTCAGAACATACGTATTTGAGTTAATTACTATCACTTCGGGATTAACTCTTAACAATAGATGCCAGAATAAGTGAGAAACTCTTCGGCAAGTTAAATCAAACTCTAGGTAATAAGGGACGCTATCCCTGTGAGGCTCCGTTAGGGATATTAATTAAATTCTTTTAAGGACAATTATAATTAAATATAATTATTCCCCTTGAGTGACCTCTCAAAGGACAAGTTGAAGGTTTAAGTTTGTTCTCCCGTCTCCCTCCCGTCACTTACGCTCGGGACACGAGACAATAAACATTGTATAACCTCAACCTTGTCGTATTTTAAAGGTCAGTATTGAAACATTTACTTATTTATATTTATAACAAATATTTAGCATTCTTAGTAATGAATTCAGTTTTATTCTAAATTAACAGTTAGAATTATTAATTGTGAATTAGAGTTAGGATATACATATTTACTGTAAAAAGATAAATTATTGGTCATCATATTATTAGGTATAAATTCCTTTAAAAGGTTAACTAAGTCAGGAAATAAATATCGTACTTCGCCACATTATTATTAAAGTTAAGTATAGTGTTCTATTTCCTTCTATAACATTTTATTCCATTGTACTTTGTTAAAATGATGTCACTTTTAAAATTGTATCGGACGCCATAACTTTTGTAATAATTTTAGCACCGGAAATGTAACCGGAAGTAAGTTTTCAATATGGCCGCCAATGTTTAATGGCGGACCACTGTATTGTTTCTTTAGTGTAAATTTAGGTACTTGATAAATTAATTCAATACAAATATTTCATGTTTGTACATTAATATCAATCAATAACATCTTGTAAATTAATTGATCTTTATTATGTTGTAATATACTACACTTACTCTCGGGACACGAGACAATAAACATTGTATAACCTCAACCTTGTCGTATTTTAAAGGTCAATAAGGATCATCCAAAGGGCCAAGGACAAAGGTGTTGCTGGGCGTAAGGCAATCCCCAGAGCTAATTCCCAGGCGTTAGCAAAACTACGCCGTAATATTTTTGTAAGCAATGGTATGTTCAGTTGGTACAACTTCGAACATAATGTTTTTTTTTTCCTACTTGGGTGTAACTGAGAAAAACTCTTGATATCCATGAGCATTTGTCATCCAAAAATCACAGTAATCAGGCATATAGTGTGACACAATTTTTCCGTAAAATTTGCAATTTTACCTCATTCTATAAGTTCTATGGAATTTCATAGAAAATGTTTAATGGGGCTGCAGAGAAATAAAATGCATACAGAATACTTGCTTTTAAATTCCGGAAGAGATTCAGAGAGAAGAGAGATGCACAGTTAACTAATTATTAGGTCACAATGTCACGATTTCTCTGCTCCATTTTACACCAAAGGGTCAATTTTTTGTTTACTTGTGTAGCCATTGCATAAAATGCGGACGATTTCAGCTTTTTTTTGGATTAAAAATATCCTTTAAGTATTTATAAATTTGTTTGTAACATATATTGATTAATATTTATGAATGTAAAATAACAAAATCAGTTGTCTATTTCATTGCTTTATCTGTAAAATCACAGAGTGTAAATTTTGTCGGGAGGTCTGTGGAACAGCCCTGTTACAACGCACTTTGAAAAATTACGCACTTTGAAATTTTTTTATCCCCCCCCCCCCTCTCCCGGTTCCGACGCCTAATCCAGGTATGATGGCAATGAACATTATTGGACTTTCAATTTTAAAAGCACTAAAAACTAAAATTCAATATGCACTAAATAAGGACTTCCTTATACTTTTTACTGAATTTAGAATTTTCAAGTTCTTTTTTTTTCAAATATGACCATTAGGGCTACATATACGAGAAATGCTACAATATGGGTTCCAAGTTTGTAAGCTCATTAAAAATATTTTTCCTGTATAATATGATGGTCTTTTAATAGGTATTTGATAAGCATGAAAAAGAATGACTCTTTTTACAACGGTTAGTTGATTAGTATCAAGAGGTATAAAAATTGATTATTTATGCATTTTATACAATTTTGTTTTGTATTGTATTTGATATTGTAAAGTAAAATATTGTAAAATATAGTTAGTTGCTTATTGTTGGTTAGATCACCGATATGGTCTTTGGGCCTCTCTTCTTTAATATAACAGGGTGCATTTTTTTTTCAGGAAAGTTTCTCTCAAATTTTTCATCTATTTTATATATATATTCTTAAATTTCTTGAGAGAAAGTATATCAATGGCATACCAGTTATGTAAATACATATACATGTATTTGGGTAGAAAAGATAAAGAGTTTTGTTGAGGGCCTTCTACCTGTCTTGTCCTCGAGGGTAGATCAGTTCATCAGTTTTTTTCTAAAGATATATAACAAAATAATGCAGTCTATTACTAAAATCTCAGTCCAAATATTTTGTTATATACATTTTTTTTTTTCAAAGTGCGTTGTCTCCATGGTTAAAAATGTTGATGTACACTCTTAACGAATTTTGAAAAAAAAATTCAAAGTGCGTTGATTTTGTCCCAATTTTAAGGCACTTTGAAAATTGTTTTCAAAGTGCGTAATTTTTTTTTTCAAAATGCGTTGCCACACAGTCCCACTCGGCTATAAAAATGGATATTTATCAGCTGTTTCAGGCAATACACACTGTTTTAGAGACTGCATAAGACGACACATCGATATGGTCCTAATAAGTATTAGATTCTACAATGAAATATTTATTTCAACTGTAAAGGTTTGACATATGTCTCTAATCTAATAATTTTTTGATGACGTTCGTGATTTATTGGAGAATAATGTCGGCGTCATTTCTTTGATCTCGGCTATAACTGTAGTAGAATTTATAATAATTTGGCATATTATCAACGTATAAAGCTACAATTTGCAACATTTCTTAAACATTTATTGCTTTATGTTCCGTATAAATTTTGTAACTACAGACTACAGATTATTAATTTTATCGCATCAGTCCACAAATTTTTATAACCCCTCGTAAATATAAAAAAATATGTAAAAAAAAAAACCCAACCAATTTTCAATTATTTCTTAGAAAATGCTCTATTCATATGCAGGTCGAAATAAAATGTTTTGGAAGATGTATTTGGAGGAAGGATGACATTTTTTGAGTTTGATCATCTTATATATGATTCAGTAATATCATTCTAAAATTATTCAATGCATAAAAAAAGATAAGTATATAATTAAAAAAAAATTATATATACATAATAAAGGACTTCCAATATGATGAGAATCGTTTCTCTCCTCTATTTAGAGTATAGTGGTATCTTCAATAATGACGTTACTCGAAATGTCTACTGCCTTAATGAAATTCTACTTTAAAATACCTCTGAATTCCGTTTTGATACGTGTA